GAATAGTCAGTAGTGAAAAACCCCGAGTCGGTTTGGGCCCATGCGCCTTTTTTGACGGAGATATGAGTTAATTAATGAAAATGCCATTAATAATAATTAATTAATAGCTCACGATCATGATCAGCTAGGAGTCGGAAATTTTCACTACAGTTACAGATAGATGTTGTCTACTCACTGCGACACTTTTAGGCTTATAAACCAAAGCTTTTGCAAGATATGAATTTTTTATGATTTAGACAGTTTTTAGTGAAAATTCACCATTGAAAATCTAAAAACTTGTTACCACATTTTAAATAGCTCTATTCATGCTGCAGAAGCTCAGCGGCTCTCAGGGACCTATATCTAAATGCAATAAGTCTTTCCTGAGTCGATAGAGGTATCTAAAAAGTGATAACAAGTTTTTCAATGGTGAATTTTCACTAAGAACTGTCTAAATCATAAAAAGTTCATATCTTGCAAAAGCTTTGGTTTATAAGCCTAAAAGTGTCGCAGTGAGTAGACAACATCTATCTGTAGCTGTAGTGAAAATTTCCGACTCCTAGCCGATCATGGCCGTGAGCTATTAATTAATTATTATTAATGGTATTTTCATTAATTAACTCATATCTTCGTCAAAAAGGCGCATGGGCCCAAACCGACTCGGGGTTTTTCACTACTGACTATTCCCTACATGATGAAAATAGTCTGAGTCTAAAGCTTTTAATCACCTCGAGAGATTCCCTCGTGAGTTATAAAAAATTTAATGTTAGGACTGCCCTCCTCGTCGAAACGAAAAAGTTTAACAATTCTTGTAGTAAGCAACATGGCCCCAAATCCTTCTAGGCTCTTCTCAGGGTAATAGGCTCTATATATCAGCAAAATATGGTTGAAAACGGGGTGGATCGCGTGGAACGGTCCCCTTGTTAGTTGTAAATATCTTGAAATCTAATGTTGCAAAAGAAAAAATGTTACTGGTGAGGGAACATTTGGCGATAAGCTGTAGTTAGACACTGAAACTCATGACCACTGACAAGTCGGCCTTCTCTGCAATCCAGGCAGATAAAAAATTGAGTTCCACTAAAAACAATTTTACTTCTACCAATTCGATCTTGTCGAAAATATCAAAAGAGTCTTATGATCATAAAATCATGTTGAAAGCTTTCCACCTTACCCTCAGGGCCGAAACTCAGAACAACTTTTGTAGCCATATTATTTTGCATTGCTGAACATCAATACAACATTGTATATACAGATATCTTTCTCTCCAGTTATTTTTTGGAAAATGGAGAGAAAGATGTCGATATACATAATGTTTATCTTGGTGAGCAGTAGTGTCTATGGTTAAAAAGTTTCAATCTTTATATCTTGAAAAATGATCGACTAATACTGCTAAAGATGTTGAACAGAGCTTTGTTAGAAACTACGGTAAGCTTTTGAACAGTTTCCAAGATGATCGCGTCATTATAGTACTAAGTGTTATACCACTTGAAATTTCAGACGGTTCGAATGAAGTCATTGTAAAATCTAGTCCGCTTTCAGTAGAACTACCCACACATCAAGAAATGCGGTGATTTTGATTGCCTAATGTGAATGTGTTCAGGTTGTTCTCAGAAACAGTCCGCGGGAATAAAAGTTTTTCTACACAACCCTCATCCTTACACATATAGATCGCAGGTCTAAGCAACGAACCTTTTTATACCTATAAGATGTGTATTTTATTGTGTATGTGTTCTTGCTTGATGTTTTAGTGTTTGTAATGATGAATCCAATGAGTTATATACAGCTATTTCAAACAGTTCGGATATTCTTATCCAATTTACTTCGTCCGAACTAGCATTACATTTTTTAAATCAAATAACAAGTGATAAAAGAACAGAAAAATCTGAATTTAATTTTGTTCTTCTTCATTCTGAACCATGGTCCGAAACAATGATTACTCGACCACCACCAAGCATAGATCATTTAAAAAACCCATCATTCGAAAAAGCCTATGGTCTTCATGAATTATTGGATACTATGGGCTACGTATTTCAAGACAAATATCGACAATCACGTGCAATACAAAATATATTACATGATCAGCGAGCTGATTATGATTTCTATTGTTATCTGGAATAACAATTGATTGCCGATCATTGTTATGATATTGAACGAAAGTTAATTAAAGATTATCAAACTTATTTGGCAAAGAGGAAAAAAGAAGACAAACCTACACCATCGAAAGAAAATGGCCAATACACAATTCCATGTTGTACCTTGACACCTCTAAGAACAATCTATCGTCAATTCGAAACTAATTCTGGTAGTCGCGCATTGCGACATCCACAATTTCAATCCAGTGATCAACCAAATTTTTTGCTTGTTCATTTTCGTGAAGAAGACAATACAAAATTAAAAGATTTTAATGAACAAATTAAACGTCGATTGAAATTGAAAATGACAAATGGTCTAGATTGTGTATACAAAAATTATAAATTTATTGGTAGCTCTACAAGTCAATTAAAAGAATTGTCATTTTGGTTTATTTTATTACCAGACAATATGAAAACAGTTGATCAGGCGATTGCTAGTCTTGGAGAATTTGCCACAATTAAAAATTTGGCAACACATGTGGCAAGAGTGGGACAATTTTTTTCAACAACAAAAACAGTTGAAGTAAGTATTTCTTGCTGGAGTTACGGTTCGTCTAACAATCTTTGTTTTTTTTTAGATTAATCTAACATTTATTGATCAGAATAAGCCAACAAAAAATCAACGTTATTACGCATGTCGGATTGATGATATTGAACGAAATAATTACAATTTTACCGATGGATGTGCAAAAATATCATTGGGTTTGGCAGCTGAAGTGGCACAAAAATTAAAATTAGAAAAAGTAAGTTTGAAGAGCAATTTTTATATTAAATAGTCATATTCACTTCATATCGCCGCAATATTTTGAACATCTTCAAGAAAATTTTGCTAGACAGAAATAATTTATATTGCAAACTAATCGAAAAATCGATCAAGAGTTCTTCTTTATCAGCAGTTTTAAGATTCTTTTTTTGACAGGTTTTTTGTCTCCAAATATTTTCCAACTAAAAACGTGCATGGTTATGATCAGAACTGAATTCTAAACAACCTATAAACAGATTTTCAGAAAACTCAAAGCTAACGAAAAATTGAAATATTTGTACCGATTTTCATTGACTTGTATCCGATCAACTCTGCTAATCACAAATCTGATGATGTTTTTTTTCTCGAAAAATCGAATGAAAGTTAGGAAAATGTTTTGTGTCGATATTGACCGAACGTACAATAGCCTCTCCCCTTCACAGTGGGCATTTAGGCCTACATTTAGCCAAAAAATGGAAGTTGACGTTGTCAGTTTTCATTGGTGAATTATTAAGTTGAATACTTTGTCTGTCGTTCCTAGAATAACTGCTAGTGGAACAATGAAAAAGTTCATAGTAAAAGAAAACTTCCAAAGATCGACATAAATAGTTAAATTTAAGTTTTTTAGACAGTTTAATTAAACATTTTCACTAAAAATAATATCAGGAAGTCGTTTTCTTCCTTGTTGTTATCAAAAAAACAGTTTTTTAGAAAGCAAATACCATATTGGCACCAGCTCATCAAACTACATCGAATCAATTCTTTTCGCACAAAACTTTCTCGTTTTAGCTAAAAACGACGCGCTTTTTTCGCGAATTTTATAGGGTTCAAATTTTAAATAAAAAGTGTCTCTTAATAACTGAAAACAAATAGTCAGTACTGCTGTTCAATTTATCCTCGTTTATTATGGAATACGCTTTATCTTGAAAATATTTATTTTTGTTGTTGGACTCTTATATCATGCAGATTTTTTTTCTATTCATATGGCAGGCATGACCTCGTGAGAAGGGCAAAATTAAAGCTTCAAAGTATAGAAATCGAATCGCCCCTTAAAAATGCTGGTTATCACAAAATATGGTTAATCCCTGATGAAATTTATGCGAGAAGTCATTACAAGCCGCGCCGTTGTGGTGGCGTTATGGTGGCAAGTATTCCGAAATTAAAGACTTCAGCGATTAACCGAAATTTTGTAATAAACATTTTTTTTATACGGGTAGTCTGGTTTCTATACTTTGAACCTTTGATTCTGTCCTTCTCACAAGTTCATTTCGGTCATATGTGATATAAGGTGACGTTAATTCGAAATTCGCACAGCATTTTATTTTTGGCTTATTCATACACCATTCGATTCAGCTCATCGTGCCGATCAAGAAAATCGACATTTTAACGTTTCCAATCGAAATTTCACGTGAAAAAAAATAAAAAAACCTTTGAGACCTTAATATTCAAAAAACCGTTATACGACGAAAATTTTCGAAAACTCTTTTTTGTTTCGTTTTGAACTGGCACCATTGTTTTTCTGATTCAGCGTATGAAACTGCCTCTGGAAATGTCATTTAGAACCTTATCACATATAACATGACTAAATTACAAATTAATATTGTCAGGGACCAAAATGGCGCCAACAAATTTTGAAAACCTTATTTTCTAAGTATAGGATTTCTGATATAAGGTGGAACCTTTATTCATACCAAATTCAATTCATCTTCACAAAAGTAAAATTAATATAGAGAGCTTTTTTGGAAATCTCTTTCGGTTGCTGGAAAAAAATCATTTTTTCTAAATCAGAGGCGAAAAAGTTAAAATTCTGCGCATAATTCGCAACTTTCTCAATCAGAAGTCAACTTTTGTGCAATAAAAATATCATATTCGGGTTTAGGATCAAAAACTGAATCAACCAATATGTATTTCTATCGTATCTAAGTACTTTAGTTTTTGTTGACTTTTCACGTTGAAAAATTATCGAGATTTTCACCAAAAAATGAAAATCAAGTAAAAATTTCGAAATACACATTGGTCCATTTAGTTTCTGATCGAATGATGTATAAATAAGTCAAAAATAAAATGGTGCTGAATTAGCCCAATTTAAACTACGGATAAACCGAATCATAGCACTAGGCAGATGGGATTAAAAATAAGAAACTTAGAGTAATGTAGTGGAAATGAATACTCAACGATTATCTTTTGGGATATCTGATTTATTCTTATACATGCTTTAAAGTAAATCGTTCTCTGTTTCTGAATTGTTAAAAAAATGTCAATAAAATTATTTTCTAGGACAATATCCCATCCGCTTATCAAGTTCGCGTTGCTGGATGCAAAGGCATGTTAGCCATTGATTATGAATCAAATCAAAATGATTTTTACATTAAAGTACGAAAATCAATGAAAAAATTTGATAGTCCACATTGGAACTTAGAAATATGTGATTGGTCAAGACCAAGTAAATATACTTTTGTTTTTAACAATTCTTTATCATTAAAATATCAGAATAATCTTTCTCTTGTTTTATAGTGCCTCTTAGTTTAAACAATCAAGTTATTCTATTATTATCCGATCTTGGCAACGAATTACCAATATTTTTATCGTTACAACAACAAAGTTTAATTGATTCAAATACAAATTCAGTAGTAGCACAAAAACAGTCAAATTATGCAATTGTGTATGTATCTTATACATTTTATTCTTTCTCTTCTTTCTCTATTATTTCACGTATCTTACTATAGGAAAGAAAATCTCTTAAAAAATCGTATTCCAATACCACCAAAAGATGGTCGAAATATGTTTGGTATACCTGATGAAACTGGTCAATTGAAGTATGGGGAATGTTTTATCCAATATACTTGTTTGGATGGAGGAAGTTCAAAAGGAAAACTGCGCATTGTAGAAGGTAAACTCGACCAATTTTCTTTGCCGTTCTTATTGTAATACATAGGACTTTTTATTTCATACAGGCGACGTGCTTGTCACAAAAAATCCATGTCTCTATCCGGGTGATTTTCGTAAATTAACAGCTGTTAATGTACCACAATTACGTGAATATATTCGTGATTGTATTGTATTTCCAGTCAATGGTCCTCGGCCACACTCAAACGAAATATCCGGTTCCGATTTAGACGGTGATCAATATTGGGTATATTGGGGCAAGGATTTTCATATTAACCAAGTAGTTCCTCCGTTATCCTATACACCCGCAGATAAAACGGAAGTACCACGAATCACCCATGAACTGATCATTGATCATATTGTCAACACTTTTGGTACAGCCAAACAAGGTCTCATTTGTGATATACATTTAGCCGTGGCAAATATTATTGGTGTTCGATCTGAACAGTGTAAAAGTCTAGCCGAACTATTCGCACGTGCAGTAGATGCTCCGAAAACAGGCGAAGATGTCCCAATGGATTTAGTTGAACAGTATCGTCATCAATATGCTTATCGTCATGGGTATCCACAGTACATGATGAAGTTTAATCAACAAATATGTCGTTCTGATTCAGTAATGGAACAGTTATTTCTAAATGGGAAAAAAATTCTTTTTAACCAAATGGAAAAATATTCATTCTCTTACAAAAGCTCTTCTCCTCGCCAACATCAACGATCAGTTGAACAAAAATCATTGACAATACTCAATAATAATGAAAATCAACCTTTGTAAGTAGGAAAAAAATGAAATTTCAATTCAACTGGAATTTTTAAGTGCGGGTCGGATTATTGGATCTCTAAAATTTCAGATAAAAGTTTACGACCATATTACAGCAGACAAGTATGGCTTTCAATTCAGACATTAGTTTTTTATTTTCCTTAAAACGCTGATTTTCGGTTTACTAGCTAGTTTAAAATAGAATGAATCCATGACCATTTCTTATATAGTTACTGATAGAAAAGAGATGGAGGCCTGGAATTTTTGGTATTCAATAACCAACACTTGATTGCATAGTTTCTATATCTATCCAGTTTGTGTACCGGACAAGTCTCTAAAGGATTAGGTTGCTGGTCAGAAGCTTCCTATGAAACTTGTGATACTTTTAACATACAGTCAAACTCCCTCTAAAAATCAGTGCATGTTCAAGATCGCTATCTATCATGACCCGGCAATAGGCTCAGCTTTCTCTGGATTTGCAAGATCGACGGTTCACAAGAGTTAACAACCTCAATAATAATTAAAAACATATGTTATCGACTATACTGAATCTTGAGCAAATTTGAGTTTCGACGTCGGAACACAAAGTTTCTCACGAGTTTTAGTTCAAAAGTATTCGAAAAAAACTGCAAGACTTTCTAATTTTATGATTTAAGTAATAATAATGATTTGTATACTCCTTCCTTAATTGAGGCATGGAAACTAACATTATAACACGAAATTCAGCATGGTTGATAATCTATGTTTTCATTATTATTATTAATTAATTATTTTTGTGGATACTCAGATCTTATGAACTACTTATCCCGATGGTCGCAGCAAAACTGTGCGCCCTGCCAAATTATGACACATAACAGATTCGGACCTCTTTAGATATGTAAAAGGTGCTTTAGGCTGTCTAGCCATGTAAGAAAAAATATAGCAGTTATTGAGCCTGTGATCATCTTAAATTTTATAGTTGATCATCCTTTTACAGAGCAAATGACAATACTTCATCATTGCCAGCCACACCAACGAAAAAAAAATCATCATCAAGTTCAAAATCAGCTACAGCAACACCAAAAGATCAAAGGTCTTCTTCATCATCTGCCTCATCTATCAACATAGAAGGATTAACTACACCATTTCCAAAACCAATTCAGAATGAACCATGTGTTGAACCCAAAACAAAATCATCAAATAACAGTAGAAAAACTCAACAGTCAGAAGCTTCACTGATAAATATGCAACACTCACAATCTTCTATGGACAGTGGGCTTGCTTCAGCAGGCAGTTCACTTCGATCATTAAACTTTGTTACTTCAAGTATTACTGCCGAATATCAGGATTTCATTTTAGTTGGCATGACTCGAATTAATAATCTTATTAAAATAACGTATCATGATTCTTCATTATACTCAGTTTCATTAAGTAATGAACCAAACAAGGAGTGTAATCAGTTTAGTAAACTTGTGACAAATCTAACAGCAAGTGGTATATTTAAAGGCAAGCAAACAAAATACCTTGAACAAGAACATGGTCCTCTAACAATGATTGTTTCATATGGTAAAATCTATTTTAAATCAGATGATCAGTCACAACCTCCAAAATACATCAGTGATATTATAAAAGGACTAAATGAGAATAAACTTCAAGTTGAAGTTGTAACAAAGAATATCGATTCAGTAAAACCCGAGGTACGATAGAAATACTGAATCTGTAATTTTTCTCTATTATCCTTCATTTGTAGGGAATTGATGACAAAAAGCAGCCATGGGAATATCTATTCGACTGTAAAAATGAACAACAACTTACTTATTATTCATTAACTTATGATCAAAAGAAGAAACTAAAGAAAATATCTGTGTTTCATTCATGGTGGAAATGCTATATTAAAGATATTGATGCTGATGATACCTATGATACCATCTATGAATTTCGTTCACAACTAGCGTACGAGGAAAAAAATCCGTTATTCAAAGATCTTGTTCAACAGATATTTAGTAATCCCACCAATACAGATTTACTGGAAGGTACTGCACGACGTATTGAATGGAAGCCTATATTAAATCCAACTGTACAACCGGTATCATTAAAAATGATTGCACGACTTCATGCTCAGCCATGTGACGGTACGGGCGATGGTGGTTATTTTAACTTAGTTAAAAATATTGGACTGGAACAAGATGCAAAAACAAAAAAGAGTGAATCTAGTGATACAATGGAATTTCGTGTGACACCAGTGCTAATTAATAACAAAGAGCAACTGGAACAATTATGTGAGCTAGCAGAAAGTTCTGAACTAAGAACAACTTTCACTTGTAATATGGCAACAAATAGAAGATGATTAAAGAGAAAAGCTTTCAAAAATGACATGGTCACTTGATGGCGATGGCGTGAATTAAAAAACTTTCTTTGATTTTTGTTCATAATTTATCAACATTTTTGCTAGCGAAGTAGTAAAAGCTATTCACATTTCAAATCTAGTCAAGTTATCGGACATTAACTTAAGTAATCTTGGTTTCGATCAGCACCGTATTCAATTATGTATCACATCTAGGTCAAAATCATAATGAATACACTTAAAACATTCTATTAGACTTATATTAAACCAAGAGCATAGATCAGGTACTTCATAGTAATTTTCAAGCTGGTAGTACTAATTTATCACATATAAATCTCTATATCGAAAAATCTCGCAATCAATATAAGAGGATAATGCAAGGAGGAAATGATGACTTTTTTCTTTCTTAGCATCCGAGAGCATCTCAAATTCCGGAAAGCATTTCAATGGCTACGGTGAAATGCTTAAAAAATTAACAAAATAGCTCAGAAAAATGACCTGATGGACGTGGCATAAAAGAGTGTTTCAAGCACGGAAACAAAAAAACACAAACATTTCATTGTATCTTAATATTCTTAAATTAAATATATCTTGTATGTCGACAATTTAAACCCTTTAACGTTTCTTGTTCATTCTTACATGATGTCTATCTCATCACCAGATCTCCTAATTTTAACAGAAAATAGAAAAGCGTTACCACAATGAGGTTAAATCTACACGATCTACCTCTACTTACTGTGAATAAGCAACAAAATTAAATACGCACATACATATCTCTTACCGATCTGCACTTCTTATCATAAGAGTGACAATTTTTTCAGGTAACCTGTTTGTTATATATATGTAGAATCGTCTTCTTTCTTTGTCCTTATGCAAATATATCTTCAGAAAACGAAGCCTGTTGTCAGACAACTATTATTCGGCATTCTTCCAAGAAAGAAAATTCAAAAATTCATGCTTGTCTTGGGTAGTTAGGCAGTGGAATGAGTTACCTGTTGAATTCCATCAAACTGTTAAATTGGCTCGCTTAAAGATACATGATTTTCTGCATTCATGTTACAAATGGCCACGATTCAAACACGTTTGCCGAAAGCATGAAATGCGTTATAATCAAATCCATGTTATCTTTTATAAGGAGTGCATCGCAGTTTCGAATGAACTAACGCCTGATTTGTGTTCTATCCCGAACCCGAAAAAATTTAAGGCTAAACTGATGTCCAAACTATTGTCTGATAATGGTTATTTTAAACTTAAGCTACCTAAAATACCTAATGAGCGCATATTTGACATTGACTTTGGGAGATGTCGACTGAGTTTTAGTCAGTTGAATGTTGATCTGTATGCATGCTCACTTGTACCGTCTCCTAACTGTGCTTGTGGATTCAGTGAAACTGTAGCCCATTATTCTTACATTGTTTACTACACAATAACGCTCGCACAGATTTGCTTCATGTTCTAACAGGTGTTTTAAATAGCAATAAGATTACTATTGATCATAATATGTATGGCTACCCTATTCTTGTCACAACTGGGAGATATCTACTTAGCTATCATTAGCTACATTAGATGTATCAGTCGTTTTCGGCCGCCTAGATGCTGTTTATTTCGTTTTCTTGCAACTCAACTATTCGCCCTGGCAGACAGATTATTTCTCACTCTCCTCGCTCTCTTCTGTTTAGATCATCCATTCAGATTAATTTTCTGAATTGTATTCTTATTTTGTTCTTTCTTTTTTACTGTTTCTATATGTATTGTCTTAATGATTTCCTCATGCAAATTATTTTACTTTTTTTCTTATTCCTTTTTCTTTCTCTTACTTTGTTGCTTCACCCTTTCTCAACATATAATGGGTTAGACTCGCTTTGTTGTGTAAATTGTTACTTAGTTTCAAATAAACTGGTTTAGAACAAATGCGTGTTGAATTCTCTCGATTGAATTTTGATTTGCATAGTAGCCACTTAGTAAATAATCAGTATTGTGCCTACGGCAAAGTAGAAATAATCAAAACTTTCTCTCGGAATGTTCACACTATCCCCATTTGCGATGTAAGATTAAAAATGACTGGCATAATATAGCACCTGGGTTATCCTTCACACTTAAACACATTTTACTATCAGAAAAACTAGAAAACATAGATGACTTTACCATTGCCCAGCTACATAAAATAATCATAGAATATATCAAAAGTACCGAACGTTTCTGAGTACTACTTATTTCACTTTTGTTCTCTGAGACATACCGGCGTTCGATCGTGCAACTGCTTTTCTTTATACTTCCTTTCTTCGCTTCCAGATGCATCTTTTCCCTCTTTCGTTTTTCTTTCTTTCTGTACAATGTAATATCGACAAAACAAAAGGATATAATGGGTTCGCCTCTTTCTTCTTCTTGTTTTATTTCATTTTTTTTCTTTTTGTGTGCACCACATCATACTTATTAAATAAAGCTTAAACCAGTTTATTAGTAAGGCGCTCCAAATTCAAACTTGTCACCCTCACTTGGCACCCTTATCAGATTACCAGGAACTGCATTTATTTATTCCTTTTCCAGTCGTTTCTTCAACTTTACTATGAGTATATAAATAACTTTCTGCAAAAGTAATTATATACTGTGATACCGCTTGAAATTCTCTATCATCCTGTATTTTGCCAGCCTCGACTTGCAATTATTTACTGACAAATATTTCGAATATTGTTGATGTGCCTCCAAATCACGTTCCCATGGATTGCATTCCATGCTTCTTCCCCTAACTCTTCTTCTTTTTACAGATCACAAGAATAGTTGCATCGGCGAAAGGTGTATTTTCATTGGAACTTGAAACTTTAAAACTTCTTAAAAGTTATTTCCTGTACTGGAAGCAAGGGTTATAAATCTTACCAGGGTCTTCGCGAAATTTTGTCTGATCTTACGAGTGTCGTGTCTCACGATCTTAGTAATATTTGCTTAAGATCTTTAACGACTATGACCGAAATCTTGCTGAGATTTAATAAAGTAACTCCAAGATTTTAGCAAGATTCGAGGAAGTTTCTCACTGGAGATCAATAACAAAATCTTATGAATTTTCTTCAGTGTCGTAGACAATCTATATCTGTGTCGAAAATCCGGGACAAATGCAGAGAGGTTAGTGAACAAGTGTGATTCTGACGAGGAGGACGAAGATGATGCTAGTCACTGTACAGTAATATTATTCTTAAAATATATGGTGAGCGACGACATGTTCCATCAGGCACAGTTTAACAGGCTATAAAAATGACAGAGATTACGCACACCATTTTGAGCCTGAGGTACTATATAGTAACTTATATAATAAGTAAACTATTTTTCATCGCTCACACATTTAGGAAAAATGCCTTTTTTCTTTTCCTTGTTTTCTTGGTTCAGTGTTAGAACATACGAAGAGAAATAAGAAGAAGAAATAGCTTTGTGGAATTTCATTTTTTTTACACAGCGAAAACAGAGAAATAGATCATCATTTTTATATGAGTTAATTAATGAAAATACCATTAATAATAATTAATTAATAGCTCACGATCATGATCAGCTAGGAGTCGGAAATTTACGCCACAGTTGAAGATAGATGTTGTCTACTCACTGCGAAACTTTTAGGCGTATAAACCAAAGCTTTTGCAAGATATGAATTTTTTTATGATTTAGACAGCTTTTAGTGAAAATTCACCATTGAAAACCTAAAAACTTATTATCACATTTTAAGTACCTCTGTTCACGCTGCAGAAGCTCAGAGGCTCTTAGGGACCTATATCTAAATGAAATAAGTCTTTACTGAGTCGATAGAGGTATATAAAGGTGATAACAAGTTTTTAGGTTTTCAATGGTGAATTTTCACTAAAAGCTGTCTAAATCATAAA